TTTTTTTCATTGATTTCCTTGATATTCTTGATCTTTGGTTCTTCCAGATGAAATTTATTAATTTTTTTCTAGCTCTATACACTAATTTTTATAAGTTTGATTGATTTGGTACTGAATAAGTAAATTAATTTATGCCAAATTGTCATTTTTTATTATATTGGTTCAGTCTACCCATGAACAATTAATAGTTCTCCAGTTGTTTGTTTTGGTCTACCTTTATTTGTTTCATGATGGCCTGCTTGAACAGGTTCTGGATAATGGAGGATGCTTTTGCACTTTCCCAGTCACCAGCAGAGTAAAGCAAGACTGTGTGCTTGCTCTCGTGCTTTTTAGTATGATGTTTTCAGTGATGTTATCAGATGCCTTCAACAGGAATAAAACAGCATCAAGGTCAGCCACTGCATTAACTTAAAAAAAAACCAATACTAAAAGTGGAAGGAGAGATGGTGTGTGACTTTTTGCACGTAGATGATTGTGCAGTTAATGTAGTTTCTGAGGCTAAGATGCAACAGAGTATGAATCAGTTCTCTGCTACTTGTACTGATTTTGACCTGACAATTAACACCAAGAAAACAGAGGTTCTCCACCAGCCAGCACTGCACCCTCCATATGTAGAACTATCAGTTAAAGCGAATGGAAAAATTTTGAATGCTGTGGAAAAGTTCATTTACTTCGGTAGTATACTTTCCAGGGATCCATGCTTAGCCAGAGCTAGCTCAGTGTTTGGGAGGCTCCAAAGGGAAATGTGAGAGAGAAGACTGCCTACCAAACTGAAGGTCTTCAGAGCTGTTGCTCTGACTTTGTTGTTGTATGCCTGTGAATCCAAAGGGCTGGTCATGTTGTTTGAATGCCAGGTGTACATTTGCCTAAAAAGACTGTTTTACAGAAAACTCCTACAAGGCAAGTGCTTACATGGAGGTCAGAATACAAGGACACTCAAGGTCTCTCTAAAGAACTTCAGAATCAATTGTGAGACATGGGAGACACTGGCACAGGGACCTCTCGGCTTGGTGTGCCCACATGAAAGAAGATACTGTGCTCTATGAGCAAAGAAGAATTGCAGTAACTCAAAAGAAATGTGAGATGTGCAAATTTAGAGACATCTCTACTCTTAAGTGTTCATATGAACTATTTATGCCCAACCCATCGTAGAGCCTTCTGAGCTTGTATTGGTCTGACCATCACATAGTCCCTGGGTTTGTCTTGGCAAGTGTTTTATATTGTCTGCAGTTATTTTAAATGAAATTTCCCTTTCTCTGTCTTCCTGCTGGGTTTTGTTGGTAGTCTATAGAAATGTTGGTGATTTTTATGGGTAAATTTTATATCTTGCAACTTTGCTAAAGTTGTTAATTATTTCAACTTAATTTTTAGTTGATTGGCTAGAGTTCTCTAAGTATACCATCACATCTTCAGCAAAGAGTGATACTTTTGTTTCCACATTGCCTGTTTTTATTCCTTCACCTTCTTTTTCTTGTCTCATTGCTGAGCATTGCTCACAATATTGAATAATAATGGTGATAATGGGCATCCTTGCTTCATCCCTGATCTTGTTGGGATGGCTTCAAGTTTATTCCAATTACAGATAATGCTTTCTCTTGGTTGGAGATAGATACTACTTATCATTTTAAGAAAAGCTTTATTTATTTCTATGCTTTCTAATGTTTTTAATAAGAATGGTTGTTGTATTTTGTTAAGAGCTTTTTCTGTGTCTGTCGATTTAATCATGCGATTTTTGTTGTTTTTGTTATTGATATGATCAATTATGCTTATAGTTTTCCTTATATTGATATATTTGATGTAGTGATATCATTAGTATATAATATCTGCCCTACATTCCTGGTATAAATCTCATCTGTTGTATATGATCTTTATGATGTATTGCTATAATCTTTTTGCTAGTTTTTTTATTTAAAATTTTTGTATCAATATTCATTAAGGAAATTGGTCGATATTTTTCTTTCTCTGTTTTTGCTGTCCCTGGTTTAAGTTTCAACACCACATTTGTATCGTATAAAAATTTGTTTGCCTGTTTTTTCAGATAGTTTATATAGTTATTGAGATTCATTGTTCCTTAAATGTTTGATAAAGAATTACTTGTGAATTCTGGGAGTTTTCATTTTGGAATCTCTTTTGAGCAGTGATAGCGGATTTTTTCAGTTTCTATTTTGCCTTCTGGTTTGAGGATATTGGGGCAGTTTTCCTTGATAATTTTTCGAAATATGATGTCTGTGTTTTTTTTTTTTTCCTTAACCATGGCTTTCGGGTAGCCCAGTAATTCTTAAATTATGTCTCCTTAATCTATTTTCCAAGTCAGTTGTTTTTATGATGAGATATTTCACATTTTCTTCTAATTTCTCATTCTTTTGATTCTGATTTTTTTACATCTCATGGAGTCATTAGCTTCCACTTACCCATTTCTGGTTTTTAAGCAATTATTTTCTTCAATGAACTTTTATACCTCTTTTTCCATTTGGCTAATTCTGTTTTTTAAGGTGTTATTTTCTTTAGTATTTTTTGTGCCTCTTTTTACCTAGCTGGTAATTGCCTTTTCAGCATTTTCTTCTGATGTTCCCATTTCTTTACCTAATTTTTCCTCTCCCATTCTTATTTGATTTTGAAAATCATTTTTGAGCTCTTCCAGGAATTCTTGTTAGGCTTTTGTCCAATTCACATTTTTCTTGGAGGCTTTCCTTGAAGATATTTTGACTTCATTGTCTTCTAAGTTTGTGTCTTGTTCTTCCCCATTTCCATAGTAAATTTTTATAGTCAAATTCTTTTTTTTTGTTGTTTACACATTTTCCTCATCCCGTTTCTTGATTTTGAACTTTACGTTAAAGTTGGGCTCTGCTCAGGGTATGTGGCAGGGAATGAGCACTGTCTCAAGCTTTAAGCTTTTTCCACACTGCTGTTTTCAAAGCTAGTTCTGAGGATTTTGAAGTTTTCAGTGCTTCCAAGGTGATATGATCTGGGGAGAGTTGTAGTCACTGTTCCCCTGGTCTTTGCTCTGGTGCTTGCCCAGAAAGGGTCCATGATTCCTTGAGATTACTCTTAAGAGATACTTCTATTAACAGAATTAATCAGAATTCTTTCTCTTAGTCTTGTTCTTACCTAATCTAGTCAAGGCCTGATGAAATAGGGCTTCTGTGTAAAGTGAATTAATCAAGGACTAGACGTCTCTGTCTTTGTTGGTTCATTCTTCTCTAGAAGAAAGAGTTCTTCCCTGAATGTTGACTTGGTTTAAGGATGGGATAGGCTTTTGAAAAGAAATTCAAAAGGATTTCAGACTAAGACTCTGATTAAGTACTGATAAGGTTTTCTATTTGGGTGGAATCAAGGACTTAAGCATAAGTACTAGACTAATATTATTTTGAATATATAGCTTAAAGGAGAGAGAGGGAATAAGCATTTATTAAGTGCTTACTATTTTACAAACATTGTCTCAAGTGATCTTCCCAACAACCCTTACCTTCATTTTACAAGTGAAGAAAAGGATGCAAATAGATTAAGTGATTTGATCAGGGTCATCCAGCTAGTAAGTGTCTGAGGCTAGATTTGAACTCAGGTCTTCCTGACTTCAGGCCCTCTTTCCACTGTGCTACTTTTCTGGAGAACAAAGGAGGCTAAGGGTGTTCCAGTATGTTTCTACAGTAGTTAAGCCAGACTCTTTAGAATGGCTATAAATTAGAGTCTTTCCAGTGTTCCAGGACATGATAGAATTAACACAATGTCATCTACAAAGAGGAATCTGAAGGACTTCGCCATCTTTTGGGAATACTTCTTTAACTTGAATTTTTTTATTGTATCTCCTCCATGACAGTTTTGAATCCATTTAACAAGAATGTGCATCCCTATGTAATGCCTCACTTGATATTAATATCCTTAGGGTCATCCAAACAAGATCATCTCTGTCAAGACTTTCAAAAGTATATTGCACAATTTTGAAATACTTGTGGGAGATAGCTTGCTCTGGAAATAACCTTCCAAGGCATTGTTTTGCCAAATCAAATAATTTTTTGCCTAATCACGTTGTTTTTTAGTTCGGCAAACAAGCATAATGAAGATGTGTCCTCTTCATCTTTGAATCAATTATGTGATGATAATATGGGGTCTGCTTTGTAAAATATCACTTGCAAAAGACTTCCTATTACCATCATCATGGATATCCTTCTTAAGAACAAAGATTATTCTCACAAGAAGTAGTAAAGTAAGCATATGACTTAGTAATTATAAGGATCATAGATTAAGAAGCCAGAAGAGACCTCAAGCCATCTAGTTCAAATGCGACATATTACAAATAAGGAAATTGAGGCCTAAAAAGGTTAAGTGACTTGTCCATGATTGTACAGGTAGCAAGCATTAAGCATCATATCTTAACTATTTACCTTAAAATAAACTTCAGTTACTTTCATGTTTTGTTTTGTTTTACTAAGTTCGGCCCCAAAGAAGAGATATGAGAATTGCTCCCTCCTTCCCTTCTTTGCATAAGTTTAGAACTATGGGTATGGATATGGATAAATACGTGTGTATGTAGATATAGATAAATAGTTGATGTGATGATTAGTTTTACTCCCTTTTTTCTCTTTATTTTTTCATTAGAAAAGTTGGTTCTAAGGTTAAGGTTGGGAGTAGGTAGACATTTGGAAACGAAGGATTTGCTAAATCACATGATATCAATACAACTTTTTAATATGAGAAAAGTAAAAATCTTTAGAATTTTATAAAGGATCATCTTTCATTGTCTAGGTGTATTAGGCTCAGATATTGTTTTAAAAGCTCATTTTATTGTCTTCAAAATATTATTGCATAGTTATATCCTAAAACAGACCTCTGGTGATAGATACTATTAGTAATTTTATTAGTAGTGGAAAATTAAGCAAGCAAAAAAAATGCAGTTCTTTTTATCACTATTGCAAACACAATGCCCTTCCTTGTTATAACTTAGCTTGTCACTTGAAAAAAATGTTTTGTGTTACCTATATTTGTATCCATCTTTCTGAAAGCACAGATTAAGGAGGGGAGCCATATAATGTACTGACCACTTGAGGAGGAAGAAGTAAAGTTTTGGCAAAGGTAAATGACTAGGGAGTTGGGAATAGCACCTGTGCCTGTTATATTTATACACATATGTGAACTATTTGTATAAATTTATACGCTAATAATACTAAGTTATTTTGAGTTCCTTTAGATGCATATATGTGATAACATGAATATATTTTCTCTAAGAATTTTTAGCAGAAACTACTCTAGATATATAGCATTTCATAAAGCTGAAGTTTGTAATAAAGGTGTTAACCTCTTTCTTAGAAGTTTTATTTAAACTCTAAGAATATTCCTTCACTTTTTGTCAAGTTTTAGTAAAGGGTCTTAAGCTGAGTAGCTCAGTGGATAAAGTTCCAGGCCTCAGTTCAAATTTAACCTCACACACTTAACTACCTGTGTAACCCTTGGGCAAGTCACTTAATCCGGTTTGTCTCCGTTTCCTCATCTGTAAAATAAGCTGGAGATGGAAATGGCAAACCATTCCAGTATCTTCGCCAAGAGAACCCCAAATGGGGTCACAAATAGTTGGGCACAACTGAAATGACTGAACAACTTTTGAATCCCATTCAGAATTGTGGCATATGTTGGAGTATTTGTTGTTGTTGTTGTTCAGCCATTTCTTGGCAAAGATACTGGAGTGGTTTGCCATTTCCTTCTCCAGCTCATTTTACAGATGAGGAAACTGAGGCAAGCAGAGTTAAGTGACTTGCCCAAGGTCACACAGCTAATAAATGTCTGAGGCCAAATTTGAACTCAGGAAGGTAAGTCTTTCTGACTCAAGGCCTGACGCTCTATTCACAGTGCCACCTAGCTGCCCCTGTGTTGGAGTATTACAATCAATAAGCGTTTATTAAGCACTTAATCTGTACCACACACTGTGCTAAGCGCAAGGAATACAAAGAAAAATATAAAATCTCTTCTCTTAAGCAGCTTACATACAATAAGTGATTACAAAATAGTTGCTGACAAATCTGTGTTCACTAATTTTTTCTTTTTAATATAGGTAGGAAAAGTGAAACTAATGATGCCCAGTGATGCCTTTTGATATTTTCTCAGTATATTGTCTTTGTGTATGTATGTAAGTATAGATGGAAGATTCTACCCAGAAACACATAATCCAGATAACAGGATTCAGAGACAAAGAGAAAGAAGATCTAACCAAATTGCTTTTAAAACTAGATTGCATTTTTATTAAGAGTAAGGTAAGTAGGAACCACATTTTTACTTTTAAAATATTGAGTTCAAGAGATGAATGAGAAGTAGCAAAATAAGTACTTGGTTAAGAGTAAGATAAATGTAGCACATTATAAATGATCTAGTATGAAGACTTAAGAAAGAAGTTTCCTTAAGTAATATTTTTGTTTTTTGTTTTTTAGCAATACAGAAATTGCACACATCTCATAGCAAAGCATGCTTGTAAAAGTGAAAAATATTTAGCAGCTTGTGCAGCAGGTAACTTTACTTAAACATTTTTTTAAAAGTTAAAGAAAAATACTATGTAGAGAATAGTTTATTATAAACTTTAACCATCAAAAATGATCATCCACCTCATGTAGAAACATCTCTAGTCAGAAGGCCTGAATATGGTGACTCATGCAGTCTTGGGACATGCACTGGGTCTGAAGGGCTCCAACTACAAATGGGTAGGGCTTTTTATCTCCTTAGGTGTCAACAGTAGCAGATGCCACCAGGAAGCTTCATCAGAGGAGGTACAGTTTAACCTCTTGAGCCAGTCAAGTCATGGGGACTTCTCTGTAGCCTTTCAGGGAAAATCTAGCTTAACCTTTGGAGGGGAGGAGTAATCATGGCAGATAGTGGTCCTATTACATTTGTAGAACGAGTACTCTGCAAAATTGTCTCTTAATTATCTCTTTGACTATTGTGTTTTTATTCTTTTACACTAATTCCTAAATTTCAGTTATCCTAAATTTATAACATCTCTCTTCCAAATTTGTTACTTTATCCTGTATATATCACTTGCTTTTTGAGTTATCTTAGTATCTGAACTTTTAAGTTTTTTAAAACTTTTCATTGTCTATTGATATGTATTCCACTGTACTCATTTCTTGTCTTTTTATAGCTTCCACAGACACTTTCAGTTCTTAATTTGTTAATGTGTAATTTGTTTTTGTTGTAGTCTTTTCCCATGCTTTTATTTGCTGACTATGAATGTTTTATTAATTTCTTTGCTGTGAATATTATTCTATCCTTCTTGCCTTTCACTATTTCATGTATTTTTTTTTTTTGGTGTTATTCATTGTGTTTTTGAAATAATTTGTCCAGTGAATCTTTTGTGCTGTAGAATTTATCATTTCAGCACTTTGATTTGTTTATTGTTATGCAAGTTTTCATTGTTTTTATTTTTCTGAGAATTTGTATTATAGCTTTCCTCGTTTGTTTGTTTTTTTCCCTGAGATTTTAGGTGAGAAGTTATAGGTTGTGACTGAGCTGATGTCTATCCCTTGCCCTCTTTTCAGGAAGTGTCTCGTTTTCAGAGACATTTATCTTTCTCTAGACAAATGGTGGAGTCTTTAAGTCTAGTTTTGTACCTTTTTTCTCCCACCTGGAGAACATGACCTGACCTGGTCCACTTCCCCCCGAGCAAAGAGAAATGTTACTGATAATCTACAGAAGCTGCTCTTTGCACCATGTTCATGCTTTTCTTCACCTATCCCCTGCCATTTTTCTGCTGGCTGTTTCTTTAGTATTGTTTATACATTTCCAAATGTTAGAGTACTTGCATTGTGTCTTCGTATAGACATTTTTAGAAAAAAATTTATTTGACCTAGACTTGAATACTGAAGTATTTTTGAACCAAAAAAAGTACATGTAAATAATTTTTAAAAATAATATTCATGGCATTTATAACTTATGTTTTTGTTCAGCTACAATCAAGCAGTTTTAAAAATTTCATCCCAACATATTTGTTGCATTTGTTCATAGTGGGATGTCATAAAATGCCCAGTACTAAGTTGCTCGCTTAAGAGTTTTTACCTGAACGAGCTTATACGTTTCTTCTAATACATATACATATATATATATGTGTATATATATATATACACACACACACACACACACACATATATATTTTCTCAAAGTCACACCACCTATTTCCCTCAGTCTCTTTTTTGTAGTTGATTGTTCTTTGTGTAGTTTAGCTTGGATTTTCTGAACCATGAATGTCATAGAATTGTCCATAGTCTGTTGATTACCAAAAAAAAGAGCATATTTCTTTTTAAAAAATTCAGCTTTTATTCAAAGAGAACTTTGTCGAAGAAGTTAGAAACTTTTTATTTTCAAGGTTGCATATAAATAAAATGTTTGAACTTTTTTACATGAGCATCTATTCTTTTTAAAATATAGTCTAAAAAAGTCACATTTCTTAATTCAGCCACTGATGTGATACATGTGCTTAATTGTTATTAATAGTATAATAATGAACGAAATAAGAGGTTCATTAATGTAGTTGAGAAGAATGGAAATTTGAACTAAAATACTGAATGAGGAATATTTAATGAGTACTACATTTTGTTTTAGTTTTTGAAGCCTTCCATTTAACTTTTATTTGAGAAAATTTAGAATTACAATTCTCTATCGCAAAAAAAGCTTAAACAAAATGTTTAATGATATTAAAGGGTTCCCACTGTTAATATTTAGAAAAATGAACAGTGCAAGAAAATGGTGGAAATGTTACTTAAGGTTCTAATGTTGCATTTGCATGAAAAAGGTTGATGTTAATTTTATTTTTGATCTTCAGTTGATTACCATTTATCTCTACCAAAATTCTTTTGTGGCTGACAGTTCATTTGCTTTCTAGGAAAGTGGGTACTAACTAAGGACTACGTAATTAATAGTGCTGAAAGTGGCAGATGGCTCGATGAAACAACTTATGAATGGGGATATAAAATTGAAAAAGACTCCCATTATTCACCTCAAATGCAATCTGCACCTAAAAGATGGCGCAAAGAACTGACAAGCACTGGTGCTCCAGGGGCCTTCCACAGATGGAAAGTTGTCCTTCTAGTTAAAGAAGGTAGTAAAGGAAGAGATTCTCTTACAAGGTAGGTTGTAACTTCTTAAAAGTTAAAGTAATAAATGAGAAAACAGTTTTTCTCTGACAACACATTTTAGTTCTGTTTCACATGCCAATTAATTTGGACAGATGATCCGCAGTATTTTCTTCTTTAATCTTCATGGATAAGCCATTTCATACCTTTTTGTATTCTTGCTTCAGTAAAACTAAACCTGCTTTTACAACTTTTGTTTACTTTCCTCTGATAGTGTCTATTCTATTCTGTTCCAGATTAGTTCCTTTTGGTCTACTAAGTGGGAGAAAAAAAACCAATTAGGTGTGATTTAATATATTGCACTAAAGAATTATCTACAAAAAACTTTTTTTCTGATTTAATATTTCAGTTTGTTTCTGTAGTATTCTTTTCATAGTTTATGCATTTTTGTCAACATTTAATTTTGTCTGCACTCATATTATCTTATATTTGTATTCAGACCAAAGACAGAACAAACTTATTTTAAGCTTTTTTTTTGGGGTACTCTTTATGCTGTTAATTTAATTTAAGGGTCCTAAATGCTGGAAAGGCCCAAGTTTTTCTACCAAATAATTCACCAAGTGGAATTACTCATGTGATCTCCTCGGATACAAATCTAAGTGCAGAAGAAGCCACCTACACCTTTGCAGCTCCCTGCTACCCAGTACAGTGTCTAGTAGATTTTCTATTTTTTGAGGTAAGAAAAATAATTAGTAAGCATGATTAAGTGTTTTGGATTTTATTATATAAAGTACAAATTTACTCAGATAGTGAAAATATCATATCAAGAGTAAAATGAGTATTCATTTTAACGGAAAAAAATGCGTGAATTGAACTCTATAAAACTTTAAATTAAATTTCTTGCATTGTATTTAACAGTAGCTTTATTATAGAACTGAAAGAAAAGAGATGGTGAAATGTGGTATTTCTGACATTGAGCCTAAGTTTCAACGACATTATTTTGGTTTTCTTTTGAAACTATGACATTTTTTGCTTTCTTCTAGTCCCCACTTCTCTCTTGACCACCTCTCCCTCATTATGTGACACCTATTAGACATCTCTGCCTGCCTCATAGGCACCTAAAGCTCAGATGTTCAAGGCGGGGCACATTATCTTTCTCCCTGATCTACTCCTCCTACTAACTTCTGTATTTCCAGTAACCCTCACTTTACCTTCTTGGTAATGTCTTCAACTCTTCCTTCCATTTACTCTCCAAATCAAGTCAAATAGCAGTTATTCAGTATTACCTCCATGGTATTCTTTCCCCTCACATGGTTCGAGCCCATAGCTCTTCTTGCCTGGACTGTTTCAGCAGCCTTCGGTGGTCTCCTTACCTGTCCAGTCTCTCCCTTCTACACTTTATCCTCTTCGCAACCAACAAAATGATGTTCCTAAAGCTCAGGTCTGACTACATCACACCCTTGCTCAGTAAGTCTCAGTGGCTTTCTTTCAGTTCCAGGATAAAATATAAATTCCCCCTGTTTGGCATTTAAAGCCCTTCACACTGTGACTCCTACCTGTCTTTCCAGATTGATTTCACTTTACTCCTTGATTGCATCGTTCACTCCTGATAACCTGGCCTGTTGGTTATTTGCTATGCTAGGCATTTCATTTCCCATCTCCATGACTTTGCTTAAACTGTCACCACTGCTTCCTGAAGTCCCTTCAAGGGTCAACTGCAATACCACTTCCGAAGGCAAAGAGTCCTTTCCTGATTTACCTCAATTATTTGTGCTTCCCTCCTACCCTCAGGGAACATTTTGTACTTGTTCATTTATGTACATGTTCTTCCATTCCATCACCCCCAAGTAAGCTTCTTGAGGGCAGCAATGATTTTGTTTTTGTCTTAGTCATTGTTTATCATAGTAACTGGTAGGCACATGTTAGGAGTTAAGTAAATACTTATTAAATATAGTTCCATCAGAATCCTTAAAAATATGCTTCAAAAGTGATTTTTAAATACTTTAAAAATGCACACTCTGCCCCGCAAAAGCCAGTATACTAGATAATGATACAAAACACTCAGCTGGTTTTTCCTCTTGTATTTTCTTTTCTTCATTCCCTGCCTTTCATGTGAAAAGTAATAAATTAGTTTGTGGCAACATCTCTATTCAATTTAAGAGCAGTATTATCTGTCACCAGAGAGAAAATACTTCTTGGCTAAATGAGTCATAGGTGGGTCCTTGAAGAAGAAAGAGTGTGACAGTTGGCAGGAAGAGCTGCAGACTTTTCCTTTTGTTGCAGTGAACAATTGTAACACCATATCCTGGTCTTTTTTGGTAGCAATTTGGTGTTTCCATTGAATATGAATATACAATAAACAACCTTGCACATAAGTTAAATATTTAGCAAATATTTGTTGCATTGAATAGAGTCAATTTTTGATTGAATATACAACTGGAGGGCAGCAATAGTATACAAACCCAGAAGAAAGGATAATATAGAAAAGACTTTATTTGGTATTGCTGTTTTCTTTTTTTTTTTTTGTCGGGGTTTTTTTTTTGTTTGTTTGTTTAGTTTTTTTGCTTTTATATCTTGACATCCAAGAAGTCAGAGCACTTCTTACAGATAATAAAGCAATGTTGTAGAGATGTCATTTAGAAACAAGGACTTACCCAGCTTCTGAATTCTGCCTTCTATTACCAACTCCAGACTTGACATTAAAGATACTACTTTTCCATCAAGCTAATCCTGAACTGTCTCCTTAGTCAGTTGATCAGTATGCATTTATTAAGTGTCCATTATGTGCTGAGCTTACCAAAAAATTCTAAAGATGGTCCTTGCTTTTGTGGAGTAGGGAGAGCACAAACAAATATGTACAAACAAGCTATATATAGGATAAATAGGAAATAATTAAGAGAGTAAGAATTAAGAGGGATTGGGAAAGGCTTCCTCTAGAAAATAGAATTTTACCTGGAATTTGAAGGAAGCCAAAGAAGCCAGGAGATAAAGGTAAAGAGGCAGAGCATTCCAGGTATGGGAGACAACCAGAGAAAGTGCTCAGAACCAAGAGATGGAGTGGTTTGTTCATGGAACAGCAAGGAGGCTGGTGTCACTGGATCATAGAGTACAGGACAGGGAGTAAAGTATGAGTAGCCTGGATAGGTAGGAGGGAGCTAGGTTATAAAGGGCTTTGAACACCAAGCAGAGGATTTTGTATTTGATCCTGGAAGCATAGAGAGTTTCTTGAATGGGGAGTGAAGGGATGAGCATGTGATGTGATCAGACCTGTGCGTTAGAAACGTCATGTAAGTGGCTGGATGGAGGATGGATGTGAGTGGGGTGAGGCTTCAGTCAGGCAAACCCACCAGCAGTCCATTGCAAAAGTCCAGGTGTGAGGTGAAGAGGCCCTATACTAGGGTGATTGGCAGTGTCAGAGTAGAGAAGGGGGTGTTTTTCAGAGATGTTGCAAATGTAAAATCAGCAGGTCTCAACAACAGCTCAGATAAGGGGTGTGAGAGATAGTGAAGAGTCCAGGATGACCCCTAGGTTTGGAGCCTGAAGAATTAGGAGAATGATAGTGCCCTGAATAGGTATAGGGAAGTTTGGAAGGAAGTCTCATTTAGAAGGAAAGAAAGTGAGTTCAGTTTTGGGCATATTGAATTTAAAATGTCTACTGCACATCTAGTTTAAGATGTAATTCAATTAGTAGAGCTACCTTTTAGCAGGACTGAAAAGATAGTTAATTTAGCAATGATGAAGAGCTTTATTTTTAAAAAAAACTTTACTTCTGGCTAAGCCCTAGTTGAAGAATGAGGTGCATGTGTAATAAACAAAAAGGGCAAATATCTTCTTGAATAACATTCCTTTTTTTTTTTACAATAGTCCACAGAATAGTGTCTTTTCTGCTGTGCTTCTGAACAAATCAAAGAAGTATTTAATTTTAAATTATATCACTAAAAACTTAAGCAACACTGCACTATAAAAGATATAACAGTATTTTTTTTTAAGGCAAACCTTAAAAGAACTGTTAGAAGTCTTCAAGCTTTTGAAACCAAAGAATACAGGAACACTATGAAGCATTTCTGGTCACACACACACACACACACACACACACACACACACACACACACACTTTAATGTTATACCCAGACAGGTAAGACCTCCAAGTAATATCAACAAAAGCAGAACACAAAAAAAAAACCTAAAAATTAAATGGAATGATGACTCATGGGTTTTCTTTGGTGAAACAAATGAAGAAAATGGTTTTATTAGGTGCCCAAAAGCAATAAAAAACATAATTTCATGGTGTGTTTGATCATCTCACATCACAGTGCTCATAAGAAGTGTTTGCAGAAAGACCCACATGAAAATAATTATATCTTGTGCATCAATATCTAGGCTACCTACCATATGAATACTGGTTGGTACCATACCAGTATCTAGGTTTTCCATACTTCACGTGCCTTGTCCTCGTCACACAGACTCAGACTGCTGTCAGCACCACACCCAGAGCCTTTCCAGCCTGGTAAAGGCCACCAGAGCTTGGGCTCTGTTAACATAGCTTCCAAGCACCCAGGGTCACCTTCCCTCTATGAAGAAACATTGGATCATGTCTGTATGGAGGGAAGAAAAGATATAGCCTATAATTAATGCTGAGACAATCTTTCTCATTGACTGAAATAAAATGCTTTTGCATGCATGTAGAAAGAATTTCAGAATCATGGAGATGTTCAAAGGAATTCTCTTTTAACTGAACATTCTAAGGAAGGACGAAAAGTCACGGATTCCAGGACTGGAAATGAGCTTGCTGACCTGAAAAAAGCATTAAGAAAACACATATGTAGAGTGGAGGTAAGGAACAAGTGAGCAAAGTTCTCACAAAATTAATCATTTCTATTTCTGCCCAAATGTTTCCAAGATATGACTTAGATCTTCTAAGGTTTGTTACTGTTTAGTGAATATGGCTTATAACAGTTTCTCCTTTTTAAATACTTCTCTGTAGTGATACATACAGTATCTGTGCAAATTTGCAAATGTAATACTTCTGGAATCTGTGATAATACTGGTTCAGACACTTCCATGACCAACACAAATTCCTACCTTAGTCCAGTGTCCCTTTGTGGCCTTAGAGGTTAATGTAGCTAAATACCTTTGGCAGCTAGGCAGTGCAGGAGATGCAGTGTCAGACTTGAATTCAGGAAGATTTGAGTTCAAATCCAGCCTCATAGGTTTACTAGCTGTGTGATCCTGGGCAAGTCATTTAACCTCTGTCTGCCTCAGTTTTGTTGACTGTAAAATGGGGATGACCCACTCTCAGAGTCATTTTGAAGATCAAACACGATAATATTTGTAAAACATTTAGCATAGTGCCTGGCACATAAATGCTTCAGCCAACTAGTTTTGAGAATGGACATGCTTAAGTAGATAACATACTGGATGATAGATAACTATATTTGACTGGCCATGCTTAAAGCTTTTCCAGCTTGGTAGAAGCTGCTAGAGCTTATGTTTTACTGGCATGGTCTTTTGAGCCCTAAGTTAAGAAGGTATTGGCAGTATTTTGTGAACAGTGTCCCAGTAAAGCTGTATATAAATCAGCTGTCAATTCTGTATTTGGGGAATAGTGACTTGAACCAAATCAAGCATCAAGAAGAGGAGGTTTATTTGTGTTGGGTTGTGTGTGTGTGTGTGTGTGTTCAGATCTATGATTTTCCTGGTATGGAAATTCCCTCCAAATACAGATTATCGGCTTATGTGTAACTTACTGCATTAGCGTGTGGTCTGATGCACTGACAGGTTAATAGCCATCACCATGGTCACAAAGACAGTATGTGTTTAGAGGCAGGCTTTGAGCCGAGTTCTAGACCCCAAGGCCAACTTCCTATCTATTACACCATGCTGCCTGTTTTTTTTGTTTTGTTTTGTTTTGTTTGATGGATTTGATCAAACCTGTTATTTTATTGAAATAGGGAACTCTTGGTGAGAAAGCTCCCATAACCAAAGCAGATTGTCACCTGTTCTGTACTGTGAGCTCTAGAGAGGTTTTGTGAATAGTCTGTTGCACAGCCAGTATGACTCCAGGGCCAGTTCCATCCCCTATCCCACAATGCCTTTATTTTTAAAATTAAGATAGGAAGTAGATTTCCATAAGTATTTCCAAAACGTATATATTTTTGGCACCAGATTTTTAATGCATCTTGTGGCTCTAAAGTCTTACTCCCATGCCATATTGTGACATGAAGATAACATTGGGGTCTCTACCTTATAAAGCACAAGCTCCAGCACATCCTCCTAAGCTGGGAAATTTTAAGTGAAAGCCTGGAATAGACTTGTAAGGTCCTTCCTTTAAGAAACATCCCAGCTAAATTTAGTGAGCTTCCTCACCAGATTGTTACAATGTGATATATTTTTTTTGACCACTAGTATTCACTAGATGGTCTTCCAAGTCACAGATGACTATGCTCTATGTTCATGGTAGGAATACCCACCACAGCAAAATCATGGGTCCTGGAAATACTGTGATATTTCCAATGCTTTGTGGTTTTTATTTGTGGTGCCTATATTTTATATGCAAAATAGAATACATATATACATATATTATTCATGCATGTGAATACCTACCATTTAGGCAGGAGTGTACACATTTAATTGCTGGGTATTAAAATCAGACCAGTACTTCATATCTAGTTTTAACTGGAGCTTAATGTCTCCTTTGTAAAACGTGACCCTTAGAAGCAAAAATTATACCACATAATGGTAATTGATTACCAAACACCAAAATATTTTTTAAAAGTAAAAACATTTAAAATTTATAGATAGTCACGTGAGTAATTTGTTGTGAGAACTTTTATGTGACTGCGAATATTGCAGTATCTTATTTTCCAGTTAAAATGTGTTCCAGTTTTTGTGCCACTGCAAAAATTGGCTTTATCACCCTTTGAATTATACAGGATATCTCAAAATCTTAGTGCTGTTTTAAGCATTAATTAATGTTTAATTATTGTACTTGTTGGTTTTACTTGGTCAAAGTATAAAATTGTTCTTTCATAGTTAGGACAGTTCATTCAAAGAAACGCATTGTTTTTCTCTAAATAATTGTAATAAATTACTTCCCTTAGGACTGTTAAGGAACTTGAAATCAGTTAGTTCAAGCCATAGTAACCTTTTTTGATCTTATTGTTTGGTCTAAAGACCATAGAAAAGAAATCAGGCCTGTTTACTTGCTACAACTGTTGGTGAGAGCAAAAAGTGCTCCATATTAAAGTATTCCTTGATATTACCTTCCTGACATAATGGAAATGGAAGTGGATAGGAGAAAATTTTCAGCCACCAGCTCTAGAAGTCCTGAGAGCTTATAGTTGCAGTGATCTTAAAGCTATAATTTAAGTGATATTTCCCAAAAAACATTTTGTTCCATTCAGGCAAGGCGACAGAATGTCCATCAGACTCAGCCTTAGTCCATCAGCCTCAGCTTAGAGTCCCCAGCACTTATCTAATGCTCTCCCTTTAGGTGGGACCATTCTCACATCATCTGACCCAGGTCATCATTTTTACAAAAGTCCATTTACGTCCTTCCATACAAATAAGATTCCTTAGCCTTCTTCCATTACTCATTTTAGGGTTTTAACAACCCTCGTTATTAAGACAAACTTTCTGATATCTGATTTAAGTTCTGTACATCACAGCTTATGTCAGCCCCTGTCTATTCTTCACTCAGTGGTGATGTCCTTTGTAAAATTCACCTTCATCGCCTTGAAGATCTGTGAAGTTTAAGTACTCTTTGTGACAGGCTAAATGCTGTCATATTGTGCATAAGTACAATTTCTGAAATTCTGGGGAGGTTGTAAATTAAATTTCCCAAGAGAACTTCATAAAAGTTAAAAGGAAGTAACTCAAATGGCTTTGAAATGGCTTTGAACATTTGCACAGTTCTATATATTAATTAACCTTTTATTATAACCTTGGTACTGTAAACCTTGTTGTCTAAGCTTTGTAAAAGGAAAAGGGTTACAGTGGAAGAAAAACAGAGAAAGTATGCTAGGCTGCATTTCTCATATTAGTGTTATCTTAGAACTTTAGCCCACAATGCAATGCACTTGAGTTAGGCAGGGAGATGGCTTAGTGGACAGAGCCCTGGGCTAGGAGTGGGGAAGAAATTAGGAATTAAGGATCTTCCCTCAGACACTTACTAGCCGTGTGACCCTGCCAAGGCACTTTACTTTACTCAGACTCAATTTCCTCATCTGTAAAATGAGGATGATAATGAAATAAGATAAATAACAATAATGTTATTTATAATAATCATAAAATGAGACAGTATATCACAGTGAGCATCAAATGAGATCACATATATAAAGGGCTTTGCAAACCTTAAAGTGTTGTGTAAATGCTAGCTATCTTTATTATTTTGAAGAAGGTAAGGGCCGGCTACTTATAATAATAGCCCTGACTCTCCAAATTTCAATTATCATAAGTGTCCTTGGTCATATTTAGCTGGAATGATTATTTATGTAGATCTTATGGCTGAATTACAGAGGCCTTTTCACTCCTTTCTGACATCCTAGGCTCAGACTCACGCCTGGTTAACTGAGACAACTTTTTTGTACTAATAGGAAATATTTACATAATGTCTTTGTATTATGTTAAGCAAACTGTAAGAACAATTATTTTATTGACCTAAGAAAATTTTTTAAAAAATTGTGAGTGTAATCTTTCAAACATGAACAGATAGCACAGTTAAACAATATTAAGGCACCTACTATGTGTATGGTTTGGCACTTAGAAACAGTTTTAAGAGAAAACAGAAAAATGTCAAGGTTGCAATTACTATTTGGAAAAGGCTAATGCTTTTACTTTCCGCTCTTTTCCTATGAAATGTTAGAATCATAAGATTCTAATATATTCTTAGATGTGAGCTTCAAGGTACTTCAGAGGTCATCTAGTCAACACCTTCATTTTATAGATAAGGAAACTGAGGCCTAGGAAGTCAGATGACTTGGCCAAAGACCCAGGGAGCAAATGGTAGAACCAGGATTAGCTCTAACGACCTCTCCAAATCCAGCGTTCTTTTCCACATACCATTCTGCCTCTACTGTATATTGACAATATTGCCTCCTGGACCATCTCCAGTTGTCCTGATCCAGATCTGGCCACTGGACTTAGATGGCTGTGGGGGAGAAAGTGAGGCTGGTGACTTTGCACAGCCCTCCCTCACAAATCCATTCACTTGTATTGGTATCACCTCCTTGATGTCATAGTCCTCTTCAAGAACAAAGGACAAATGGCAACAATATAGTATCAAAAAATAAAGGTACTAGGTGACTTTAGACCTTGAAATTGAATGTCACTTTAACTTTAAGAAAGTTTCAAATCCTCAATCTAGAATTTTGAAAGGTACTTCAGGAGCAAGCTCTTCAAAGCTAAATACAATTTGAGAAGCTAAAATAATAATTTGCAGCCTTGGTTTTGTCACAGGCCAACATATCTCCAATTAGTTTGTATAATTTTAATTAACTGTAAGAGGGGGAAGTGGGAGATCATAAAATCATAAAGATGATTGAACATTTACTGTCACTGATGTAAGAAAATGCAGGTGATGTTTTATAATGTTGGGGAAATGTATGCAGCCACAGTGCTATTTTTTAATACTATCATTGTAGTTATGACAGGATGCTCCCTCTTCCTCTTACATTCGCCAACATTTCAGAATTGCTACATCAGATTAGGATTTTCATTCAAACTATTATTTGTTCATTGTAAACAATTTGCAACATAGATTTTTAAATGCTCTGTTTTGATTGTTGTATTAATGTTTTGTAGGCTATGAAATACAATTGCATCGAGTTAACTAAAAGTACAGGGTCCAGTACAGAGGTAAGTGATTGGATTTTTTTTTTCTGTCACTCTCACATATCCATCTTTTAACTGAAATATATTTTCTTTGACAGCAGAGCAGATTGTCAAATTTTAAATACATTTTCTATGGCTTGAAACTTTGAAAAGAAAAAAGTTCCCAATAAGGCTTGTGGTAGCATATTTAAATATAATATGCTTAAAATACCTGTTAGTAATAATAGCAACTACTGCTCTAGTCCTAGCAAAATAGTGAAATAGTAGTATTAATACCACAACATTTCAGTGGACCTGTGATCTCATCAATGTGCATATTCCCTCCAGGGATGCAGTCCATCCATGAAACAAAGAAACATAAAGAGGCTATTAGTGTTTAATATTAATAAATGATATTAATATTAAGTATTAATTTTATACATTATCCCATTTGATCCTCACAAGTACTCCATTAGGTAAACACTATAGATATTATCGTCCCCATTTTTCTGAGCAAGAAACTGAGACTCAGAAGTGTCTGTGATCTTACAAGTAGTAGAAGATGGGATGCAGACACAGGTATTCCTCGCTCTAAGTGGAACATTGCTTATTCTCCACCACGCTGCCTTGGGCTTAGAATACTATTGCCATGATTATCATAGTTGAGATGACTACGCCCAGTCATATTCTAGGGTCTTTTAGCTTTGCTTTTTTTAGAGTAGGTTGTCTTATGTTGTATGTCTCATAATTCTGGTATGTTGATGATCTCACATAACGACCCCCTTCTGCAAAGCAGGCATACACACTGGGTGACATCTAGAGGACATTTAGTCCATATTTTTCAAGAGAAAAAAGGCCAAATGAGAGCATCGATGGCATAGGTCAAATATGCCATTCAGGGGTGTGAGTCGCTGCCGGTATCAGAGAGTTTTACTGCTGGAAAGAGATCTTAGAAATCATTCAGCCTAATCTCCTTATTTTATAGATGAGGAAATTGAGGCCCAGACAGGCTGTGACCAGTCAAGTTTATGTATTATAAAGTTATCAATATTGAAAGTATCTTGAAATGAAGCTGACAGGTTGAGAGGTATTAGGATATTGTGGAAAGAGTGTCTAATTTTGAGTCTGTTCTGCCACTTCCTAGCTGTGTGACCTTGAGCAAGTTGCTTAACATCTCTGAGCCTCACGTTTGTCATCTGTCAAAGTGGAGGTCTTACCTGTGTGAGAAGCCATACAGGAAGTTAGAACATAGAGTGAGGGAGAGCTGGGTCTGAGTCTTAACTCTCACAATTATTACTTGTGTGACCATGGGCAAATCACTTAACTTGTTTGGACTTCAGGCAACTTTCTAAAACTAAGCTATAGATGGGTGTGCTCTCCATTGGTGGAGGGGGTTCCCACAGTGATGAAGTCATAGGTCCTGCTGACTCTGACCTTCCATTCTCACCTCAAAGAGCTGTATATGAAAACACTTTGTAAAGAGTAAAGTGCTCTATAAAGATAAAGTAGTAGTGTTAGTTTTAGTTGTTAAGATCATCATTATATTTAACATTTTAGATTTTTTTTTTCCTAATTTTTTCTATTTTTAGGCATCTTGGTGCAATGTATGAAGTTCTGGGCCTAGAGTCAGGAAGACCTATATTCAGATGCAGCCTCAGATACTTATTAGCTATGTGACCCTGTCTGGGCCAGTCACTTTTGTTTGCCTCAATTTCTGCATCTGTAAAATATCTTGAGGATAGTAATAGCACCCAGGTTTACCTCCCAGGATTGTTATGAGGATCACATGAGATTGTATTTTTAAAGCACTTAGCACAGATCCTGGTACATAGTAGGTGCTATATAAATGCCAGCGGTTACTAATTATTATTGTTACTGCCAATAGTTTTTATTTTGGGAAGGGATTGCTTTCCTTTTCTGTTTATGTTATGGGGAACTCATACTTTTGTCAGTAAGTAGACTGGGAAAAAGTTAAATTGATGTTGAACTGTTAGTGTTTTTCTAAAACTTTATAAATGCAGAATTATGAGCACTATAATGTGATGGTTTGGCACTTGAACAAGTCCCTTCCTCCTGTCTCCCCCCCAAAATAAGTAAATAAAAAGAAAGATTTGTTTCTGCAGCATCAATACTCAAGTATGGCTAAGTATTAGGGACTAAGCAAAACTTTCCCTCAGGCATACTTTACATTAATATTTATTTAGAAAATAAGTATAATGCATAATCTGCTTATCAGTAGCTAGAAACAATGGACATTATGCAGTATGCCACAAAAATTCAGTGTTATTACACTTGAGCAGACCCAATTTTCCTTTATCTGTTTGCCTAGAGCTATAGCATTTTGCAGTAGCCATTCATTGTCATCATTGGACAAACTGAAACCACTAATGATGGAACTTAGAGTCATAAGAACTCTCGCCACAATCATCATTTAGCTTTCTTCCTCAGCAAAGGCAGAATTTGTGTTAAAATGAATTTATTATTAATAAGATAATGAGTTTTTTATTCTTTATACAGTTGATATGAATATATGGATTATTATCACCTCAGGACACAACTGTTTTCCGTGTGTGTGTCTGTGTCTGGTCTGTGTGCGTGCCTCCGTGTGTGGTCATATCAGCAGATACATAGGCTTTCAGCATAAGTGACTTTAGATAGTGTTTTAACCTAGCATTGTCAGCTATCCTATACATCTTTTATTTCCTCATTCTCTTTATCTAATCCTGCTGTCTTTAATTTCTCAGGTTAAAAACACTGAACTTCCCAGAAATGTATGTAATATAATTGAAATCCTCATTGAAGGGCAGTTCTTTGCAGAAGCAGTTGAGGAACTAATTTTCCTACAATCACACTACATCCCTCCAGTCTATCTGCTTCATGCTCTTCTGAGCAACATGCTGCAGGTGAGAAAACAAATGTTTAAACATCAACAAAGGAGGTTAAACCCTAACTATGTTCCTGGTACCTGTTAACAGGTAATCATCTTTTTTTGGGGGGGGGGGCAATCGGGGTTAAGCGACTTGCCCAGGGTCACACAGCTAGTAAGTGTCATGTGTCTGAGACTGGATTTGAACTCATGTCCTTCTTACGTCAAGGCCAGAGCTCTATCCACTGCGCCACCTAGCTGCCCCGTAATCATCTTTTTCAGTACTGTTTTATGAGTCCTAAACTGACATCTGATTTCCATTTCATAACTTTTTCTTTACACAAAATTCATTAATTTTTCGGTCCCTACATAATTAAGCCTTAAGTGTAAGATAGAAGCTCCTCAACTCATACAGATGCTTCTCTTCAGTAAACTACCTTTCTAGCACATGGATCATAGTCATTTTGTTTCAGGGCATAAGGAGAAAAAATTTAAAATGGTTGTTGGGTTGTATTTTGGTGGGGGATCTGAACCTATGATTTGTTCATTATGAATAAAATTTTCACAAAATAACATTAAGTGACAAGTATATGTTAAAAAAAAAAACTGCTCTCTTAAAGTGAAGTCCAATTTGGAAGTGTTACTTCAAGGGAAAACAAACACTTCTAACTAAAATTCTTCCTTGGAATAGTGAGCTACTTTAGATATTCCCATTTCTGTAGTATTAATAGGGGAAATAGCATTCTCACAAATAATCTGGATCCGTCACTTAGAACTGCACTTAAGGAGATAATAAGTGTCTATCATCCCACCTGTGGTTACTTTAGACTAGTAGCATCCGACTCAAATAGAAACAGATCTCTGTGGGTCACATATTGACTTAGAAAACCACAAACCAGCATTATCTTTGTCATATTGTATTTTTATTTATTTTGTTAACCATTTCCCAGTACATTTTCATCTGGTTCAGAGCACTTTTTTGCTGCTGAGTTTGACACCTCTGCTTTAGACCAGGTAACAACTGAATCACTGCACTGTTTGCATGGAAAGCTTATCCTGCTTTTTTAATTCTTATTTCCAGTTCTAAATTCTCTCCCTCTCTCCACACCCCTCCCCAACCCACTGAGAAGGCAAGAAATATGATGTACCTGTTCTTTAAGAGGGCACGTTTGCAAGAGAGACGACCAGGAAGAGGGACACAATGGAGGATGAAATAGTGTATGTTAAAAAAAGCCATTAGTAATTGACTGTTTCCTTTCATTTTGTAACAGGGTAACGTAAAGACCTTGATTGATCGATACTTCCGTGTTTTGTCAGTTCTTCTGCATCTTCATCCTCCTTGGAAGTCTCCTGCCATGTTGAGTTACTATCTGAAATTTTTTCAATGTCCAAATTGTATGAAAGGAACATGGTCTTTTGTAGAAGTACTTATCAGGTAGGTGAATTTAAGATTATTAATATAAATTCAGACTATTGTGAGTATTAGATAAATATGGAGTATGTTATTATAGATAGTTCTTTAGAAGAATAATTTTCTCATTAGGAAAATAAAATGAAAATAAATTATTTCATTAATGTGGGTCCTCACCTCCAATTCAAATTGCAACACATCTGTGACTTCATTGAGAGGTTTCTGTGACTGAAAAATTCACCACACTGTGGCAAACCTGGTGATGACGTTTCTGACCTCACCTAGATTTGTCCTCGGACAAAAGATAGATGGTTAATCACTGGACCTTTATTTGAAGCCTTTCCATTTTGGTAAATTGTGACAGCTTGCAATCAGATGGCATGGTTTTCAAGAATCCAGTGTCATCTCCATGCCATAGTGAGTCATAAAATAGAATTTCAGAAGATTAGGAAAAAAGTGAATTTATATGTTCAGTAGTAGGCTTTATACAAAAGTCAATTTCTTTTATCATACTAAATAACTCTCCTGTTTTTTATCACTGTTCTTTCAGTCTTCCTAGCCAAAAACCCTAAAATTATCTTTGATTCTTCCCTCTCCAATATACTACAATACAAATTCTGTAATTCTCCTTATAAGTAGCTCTCAGCCCCCACCTCCATTCCATCACTTTCTGTCTCCATGGCCTTATCACCTCACACTTAGATTACAAGCCTCCTAACTGGTTACCCTAAATCTAGTTTCTTTCCCCACCTCTCTCATATCCTTGCCAGGCTAACTGTCCTCAAATACTGTTTTTATAACATTGTTCGAGAATTTATAGTAGTTTCCCAGTATCTACCCTGAAGTCCAGGCTTCTCTGCCTGTCTTTCAAGACCCTTCATAATTATGCCCTGTGCTCGCTGTCCCATTTGTCCCCAGAACTTGCCTTGTATTATCAAATGCTCCTACTCCTTCAAGGCCCAGCTCGAAGCCCACTTGCTTGTTTAAGTCATCTTTGATCACTCTGGCCCTCATTAATTCTCTGCTGTCTTTGAACTACTGTAACACTTAAAGTCTTTTTCACAGAATTTTGTACTTAGTTATGTATAGTCTCTCCAGCTCTTTCATATGTTACAGAATCACAGGATTAAAGAATTTGAACAAACCTCAGAGTTTATCCAGTCCAACCCATTGCTAACCAAGAATCCCCTCTATAGTATTCCCAACAAGTAATGATCATTCTTTATTTAAAGACCACAAGGGGAGGAAATCCACTACCTCCTGAACATTTTCTAATTGTTTTGAATTTTTCTGGAAATTGAGCTAAGATAATCTTCTCTGCAGCTTCTGAACTCATCACACCTAGTGTTGCCCTCTGGAATAGGCACATCAAATTAAATCCTTCTACACGAAAACCTTTCTGATATTTAAAAACGTTTATCACAGTCCACGTAAGCCTTCTCCAAACTGAACTCTCAGTTTAGCCCAAACATCTGGAGTACAGAAAAATCAGCTTTACCTGTACAAGACAGGAAAACATGACTAGATTATGGTTTGATTAAAAATGGTTGGTGGGGAAGGTAATGGCTTGCAAGCTGGCTATGAATCAAGAGTGTGATGTGACAGCCAAAAAGCTAATGAAGCTGTAGCAACGTTGAGAATCCTACTAGTATCCAGGACCAGTAAGGTGGCAGTCCTGCTGGACTCTGCCCTGGTCAGATTCCGTCCACGGTGGCTGGGTCAGTTCTGGGTGCTACATTTGGGAAGATCATTAGTAGATTGGTGAGTATCCCAGGAAGAGCAGCCAGAACAGCATTGGACCTAAGATTCATGCAACGTAAGGGTCAGTTTATAAATTGAGGATGATTACTCTGAAGAAGAGAAGATGGGAGGAAATGAGAACTGTCCTCTGATATCACCTGGAAGGGATTCAGTCTGTTCCACCTGCTCCCAAAGGTGGAACCAGGAACAATGGATAGAAATTACAAAGAATCCAATGTAGTCTTACTGTAAAAACAAAAATTTCTTAACAGTTAGAATGACAGCTAGGTGGAGCAGTGGATGGAGTGCTAGACTTGAAGTCAAAAAGACCTGAGTTCAAATCCTGCCTCAAACACTTATGAGCTCTGACCCCAGGGAAGTCACTTAACTCAGCCTCAGATTCCTCATCTGTAAAATGGGGATAATAATAGCTCCTACCTCCCAGGGGTTGTTATGAGCATCAAATGAGTTAACATACTGAGCATCAAGTGAGTTAACAAGCTTTGCGAACCTTAAACCTTGAAGCATTCTATAAATACCAGCTGTTTTTACTATTATTATGTAAAAGTAGACTCTGCTGTATCAAGAGGGATTGGGTTTCCCCTTGTTAGAGGGATTCGGGCAATGGCTGGATGATCTTTTGTCAAGTTGGTCTACAAAGGATCCTGCGAAAAGCTTCTTGCAGAAGGTGGAATTTGAGCTGAATCTTGAGGGAAGTGAGGAGACAGAGGTAAGGCGGGAGAGCACTGGAGGATAGCCAGTGAAAAGGTACTGAGTCAAGAGGTGGATTGTCATGCTCAAGGAACAGCAAGAAGGCCTGTGTCACCGGATCATCGAGTGTTTGTAGGAAGACTGGAAATGTAGGAAGGGGCTGGGTTATGAAGAATTTTAAAAGCCAAACAGATGATTTTATATTTGATCCTGGGGTTAATAGGGAGCCACTGAATTTATTGAGAAGAGGGGTGATCTTTAGGAAGATCAGTTTGGCAGATGAGTGGAGGATGAACTAGAGTGAGGAGAATCGAAGGCAGAGAGGCCAGTCAGCAAACTACTGCAGTGGTCTAGGTAGGAGTTGTGAAGGATTTGCACCTGCACAGCTACTGTGTGAGTGTAAAAAAGTGTACATAAAGGAAAGACAGTGAAGGTGGGAATGACAAGATTTGGCCAAAAAAAATTGTTTTGAACATGTAGCGTAAATGTGAGAGAAGAGTCAAAGCTGACACTCAGCTTGTGAACATGGGTAGCTGAGAGGATGCTGGTGCCCTTAATAGTAAGGACTAAGGAGCAGTCAGACAGGTTGGAGGAGAACCAGGAGAGAGCAGTGTCACAAAAATCTCCACAAGAAGCATCAGAATGTAAGAATACCTCAAAGGTCCAATGAAACGTTTTGCTCCAATTGATGTCCCTGGTTGTTCAAGTGCTAGAGGAGAGAGTAGCCAGGAAATGAGGTTAATCTACAGTGTCAAAAGCTGCTCTTCATCAAGAAGAGTGAAAATTCAGAAAAGGCCCTTCAATTTGACAATTAAGTTAAATCATTAGTAATTTTGGAGGGAATAGTTTCAGTCAATGATCAAGTCAATCCAAGTTAGAAAGGATTTAGAATCAAGTAAGAGGGAAGGAAATAGAGGTATCCTGTGTAGATGGCTTTCTCAAGGAGTTTTCCCAAGAAAGGGAGGAGAGCTATAGAAGCTAGCTAGCAGAAGTGGTAAGATCAGGTGAGGGTTTTTTAAGGATGGTGGAGACTTGGGCATGTTTGTAGGCAGCTAGGAAAGAGCCAGTTGATAGGGAGAGATTGAAGATAAGTAAGACTATGAGGGTGATAAAGGGGGCAATTTGCTGGATTAGACAGGAAGGGATAGAGTCAAGGATGCATGCAGGAGCATTTACCTTGATGAGAAGAGGAACCTTTTCATGAAAGGTGGCCAATTCTGTGATTCACCTCCTTCATTTATCTTTTGTCTCCTTACTTATAGTATTGTGTGTTTAATAAATGTTAGTTGAGTTGAACTGAATCTTAGATTTGGACCCTCATTCTACCTTGTCAGAACTCTTCAGATCCAGACTCTGACAGTGAGTGAGTCTAGACAATCATCTTGATTTCGAAGACTTACAGTGCTTACTACAGTATCAAATATATAATCCTTTAGGGCAGAACTCAAGAAATACTTTTTGGTTGGTTTTTATAATTAGTAAATTCTCTCCATGAAAATAGTTAGAAACTTTTACATAAATTTAAGAAGGTCTAAAATAATTAAACTGACAAAGAACATATATTTTTCCCCATAAAAATATAAAAACTCCAGGTGATAGTTAACACTTTTTTGGAAGTACAGACTATAAGACCAACTTATAAAATACTGAGATCTGAAGGTTTCTAATGTCAAATGCACTTGATCTGAATATGTTTAGTAAATATATATATATATATTTTTACTTTTTTAAAAGTATTGTTTTAGAGACTGGAAACATGGCCTATGAATGTTGAAGTGGGTCATTGTGTAAAATAAATCACAAATTAATCTTTATGTTTTTCTTTTTATGTAAAATTTTTAAAAGAGCCAAAAGTACTTGAATTGACTCATTTAATTATATCATATTAAATAGATTCATTTGTGATACTTCACTTATTGTAATGTCGAAAATAAACATTGGCAATCATTGGCAGGGACTTGATATACAAATGACCCATACATGTGAACATGTAGTGAAGAAGCCCAAGTCCAGGGTCCCTGCCTACTATGGAGAAATGCTGTATTCCTCAGTTCTGAATACGTGGGCATTTGTTGGTCCAGTGTTTTCTTCTCTCATGCTGATAATTAAGTGCCAGAAATACTTTTCTGTCACTCCCAAAGGTGCTCCTGTCCCCAGATGCCACTGTTAGGCAGAGATCTGATCCTGGCATAACAAGTTAGAAATCAGAATGAATTTTCTTAAACAACATTACAAATTCTGGTTAGATGTACTTAAAATAGTACTATTAATAAAATGCTTTGGCTATATACTGGATTAAACATTTAACCATAATATTATTTCAGTGGGAAAATATGTGTAAAATTAGCAGATTGAGGTAGATAACTTTAGAGCTTCTATACAACTATGATCCTGCATCCTGAATTTCAAACAATTGACTTTCAAATGAATTTTTGGAACACAGGCTATTTGTACGTTAGAGAAAGCCTGTTTGCATATAGCTACAAAAATAGGTATTTTTAAAAATAGCATATAAGTATTTGATTTTTAAAAAAAGTAATGTAAATAAATATAAAGGATTATAAATTAAATCT